ATAATGTTGCTGGAGGAGACAGATGGACTCCAGGTTAGGCATTTACATCTAGCCTGTTTACATTTCTTGAGGCAAGAGATGGTTGGGCTCCAGTTGAGCCTTTACAGTCAGTGTCCTGCTTGCCCTGTGAAATGGAAGTAACAACAGAAAGAGGGTAAATAGCCAGTGTCTGTCTCTTATGAACACTTTAGTAGCCATGACAAGGGCAAAGAGGGACAAAACCCTGCTTGAGTCAAGGATGAAGAGATCTCCCCTCCCCCCACCCCCCTTGTGGGAGAAGGGAAACACTACACACGCGCAGAGAGGCTCCTTGTGGGTGAAAAGTCCCGCGAAAATGCCAGACCATGATGAGCCTCGCTTCTCCCAGAAGCCTCCACTTGGAGATCCATCTTGGCTGAGGGGTATGTGCACACCAGGGCAGAGGCCCAGGATAGGTCAGATGTGAAGAAAGGAACCAGAAACTTGGCAGGAAGGAAGACAAAGACCCAGAAGAACTGGCCTATATAAAGGACTTCACCACCTCGTGGTTATTGTGCTCCTTGTCACCAGGGGGCGCCCATAACCTTTCTCTCCAGGTGTGTGTCTCTGCTTTGCTTCTGTCAGAACTAGACCAGCTGTTCCTCCGTGTTCTTTCCCACGTGTTGCTGTGCTGTGTCTCTGATAATAGACGTTGTACCTGCATGTAGCGATTCTGCCTCCATGATGAATGCATTTTTCACTGGTCAAAGATCCAGGGAAACTTGGCTTCTAGCCTCTAGCCCTTGCTGGTCTGGTGGCTAGGATTCCTGGTTTTCGTTCAGGCTACCCAGGTTCAGTTCCTGGGCAGCGAATTAGATCTCACTTCACGCCACCACTCACTGCTGCCTCACTGAGATCAACTCAATTTTTATCACCATTTAATCTACATCATATGAATTTTTGCAACTTTTCGTAAAAGGACTTCTTAGGTATTAACATACTGATATTTCCATAAGGGGGAAATACTTCTTCCCTAAAACTGCATTGAGAAGATTTGCACTTAAGAAAGTGTGTTTTACTGTAGCAGAATTATTATTTTGTCTTTACACTCTAGCATTTGTTAAATCCTTAACTGCCAAGAACTGTTCAGGCTTCCCTGGTGGCTCAGCTGGTGAGGAATCCACCTGCAGTGCAGGAGACCTGGGTTCGATCCCTGGGTTGCAAAGACCCCCTGGAGAAGGGAAACGGCTACCCACTCTAGTATTCTGGCCTGGGGAATTCCATGGACTGTACAGTCCATGCGTTTGCAGAGTCAGACATGACAGAGCGACTTTCACTGTTCACCAGCAACGGTTCGGCCTGAGATAAGAACTTTCGAAAATCTTTGAACACAGACGCTCTAACTTATTTTCCCTCTGGGATAAATATTTTGCATTTACTTTTAGGTCATATAGACACAATAGGCAGAGAACTCTCTTATTATGTATTTTATTTGCATGTAAATTAACATCCTAGAAACTTTAAAATAGAAACACTAAATACAGTATTGCACAGAACAATCTCTGTTAAATGCCCCATTATCTCACTGAAGTTCCTATACGCATGCAGGGACTGAAGGAGACAGGAAGATGGCAGAAGAGCAACCCGAGAGCCACTACTGTGTCTGGGCACATCAACTACAGACTGCAAGGTAAGGACATATTTTATAGGAATAGAAACATAGTTACAATTCAGATTTCCTTTTTAAGTTGCCTCCTTAATTGGTTTGCAGTAGCAACAGATTCTCCCCTTTTTTCATAGCCATTCCCCAACACATATCATTTTTAAAAATCTATTAATGTTAGACAAAGCCATCACAGTGCTTCAGGAGTGACTTCAAGAAAACTCCAATCAAGTCACAGTACTCAGGCAGGTGGGTTTAATAGCCAAGTCCTAGGTAGATATCAATCCATCTGAAAGTGGGCAGTAATGTTTGAACACATCTAGGATTTCCTTTTAAACACATGCTCCAAGGAAAACAGTACTGAATTGACCAGAGGAACAGTAAAAAGAGGACATCACTGGAAGGGAGTTTACACTGCCAGTCTGGCCCTGTGGTCTGGCGCTGGGGTAGCATCTGCTCGCTTGGCCCCTGTGTCCCTCAGGGAGGTCACGGGCTCAAGAGTGCAGAACAAGTATCATCACTAGGACTGCCCAGAGTTGCTGCGAACATTCAAAAAGTTTCACTTTAAGAGTTCTTTAGAGGGCTTCCCTGGCGATCCAGTGGCTGCTCCCAATGCAGGGGCCTGGGTTCAATCTCTGGTCAGTGAACTAGATCCCATTCACTGCAAGGAAGAGTTTGCACGCCACAATGAAAGATCCCATGTGTGGCAACCAAGACCTGGTGCAGCTTACAAAAGAGAAAAAAGGCACAAAATGTTCTTTAGAAAGTGCTATAAAATGCTATGAATGATTGCTTCTGCTAAGCAAATGGTAAGAAAATATGTGTATTAGTTGCTCAGCGGTGTCTGACTCTTTGTGACTCCATGGACTGTGGCCTTCCCAGTTCCTCTGTCCGTGGAATTCTCTAGGCAAGAATACTGGAAGAGGTGGCCATTCCCTTCTGCAGGCGATCTTCTCAACCCAGGCATGAAACCCAGGTCTCCTGCATTGCAGACAGATTCTTTACCACCTGAGCCACCAGGGAAGCCCAGGAAATACGTCGACCGGAATCCTCTTAATCAAGACAGGGGCCATTAGAGAGAAAATAACTTACTCGGTTAATTTAGTTTTATTATTGCCATTCTCCTTGGGAATTAAAAAGAGGGTACTTCTGGAGAAACTGACAAAGCTGTGATTTATCTTAATAAAAGACTTCTTATGGAGATCTTGAAACCTGTTTCCGGAAAGAAATGAGTTCTAAATATATTTCTTAAGCCTGGTGGCAAAGTTTCTAATGACAGAATTCATCTCCCATGCAGCTCAATGAATCCCTGTTGTTTTTTTTTTCATTTATTTTTATTAGTTGGAGGCTAATGACTTTACAATTTTTTTTGTCATACATTGACATGAATTAGCCATGGATTTACATGTATTTCCCATCCCGATCCCCCCTCCCACCTCCGTCTCGACCCGATCCCTTTGGCTCTTCCCAGTGCACCAGGTCCGAGCACTTGTCTCCTGCATCCAACCTGGGCTGGTGATCTCTTTCACCCTAGATTATATATACATGTTTCGATGCTGTTCTCTTGAAACATCCCACCCGCGCCTTCTCCCACAGAGTCCAAAAGTCTGTTCTATACATCTGTGTGCCTTTTTCTGTTTTGCAAATAGGGTTATCGTTACCATCTTTCTCAATTCCGTGTATATGTGTTAGTATCCTCTAATGGTCTTTATCTTCCTGGCTTACTTCAGTCTGTATAACGGGCTCCAGTTTCATCCATCTCTTTAGAACTGATTCAAATGAATTCTTTTTAATGGCTGAGTAAGATTCCATGGTGTATATGTACCACAGCTGCCTTATCCATTCGTCTGCTGACGGGCATCTAGGTTACTTCCATGTCCTGCCTATTATAAACGGTGCTGCGATGAACATTGGGGTGCACGTGTCTCTTTCAGATCTGGTTTCCTCGGCGTGTATGCCCAGAAGTGGGATTGCTGGATCTTAGGGCAGTTCTTTTTCCAGTTTTTTAAGAAATCTCCACACTGTTTTCCATAGTGGCTGTACTAGTTTGCATTCCCACCAACAGGGTAAGAGGGTTCCCTTTTCTCCACACCCTCTCCAGCATTTATTGCTTGTAGACCATTTGGATAGCAGCCATCCTGACTGGCGTGTAATGGTACCTCATTGTGGTTTTGATTTGCATTTCTCGGATAATGAGTGATGTTGAGCATCTTTTCATGTGTCTTTTAGCCATCTGTATGTCTTCTTGGAGAAATGTCTGGTTAGCTCTTTGGCCCATTTTTTGATTGGGTCATTTATTTTCTGGAGTTGAGCTGGAGGAGTTGCTTGTATATGTTTGAGATTAATCCTTTGTGTGTTGCTTCGTTTGCTGTTATTTTCTCCCAATCTGAGGGCTGTCCTTTCACCTCGCTTATAGTTTCTTTGTCGTGCAAAAGCTTTTAAGTTTCATTAGGTCCCGTTTGTTAATTTTCGCTTTTGTTTCTAATACTCTGGGATCCTGCTCTGTTGTATGTCGGAGAGTGTTTTGCCTGTGTTCTCCTCTAGGAGTTTTATGGTTTCTGGTCTTAACATTTAGATCTTTAATCCATTTTGAGTTTATTTCTGTGTATGGTGTTAGAAAGTGTTCTCGTTTCATTCTTTTCCAGGTGGCTGACCAGTTTTCCCAGCACCGCTTGTTAAAGAGGTTGTCTTTTTTTCCACTGTATATCCTTGCCTCGTTTGTCGAAGATAAGGTGACCATAGGTTCGTGGATTTATCTCTGGGCTTTCTGTTCTGTTCCATTAATCTATATTTCTGTCTTTGTGCCAGTACCATACTGTCTTGATGACTGTGGCTTTGTGGTATAGTGTGAAGTCAGGCAGGTTGATTCCTCCAGTTCCATTCTTCTTTCTCAAGATTCCTTTGGCTATTCGAGGTGTTTTGCATTTCCATACAAATTGTGAAATTATTTGCTCTAGTTCTCTGAAAGCTGCCGTTGGTAGCTTGATAGGGATTGCATTGAATCTGTAGATTGCTTTGGGTACTATAGCCATTTTGACAATATTGAGAATCCCTGTTTTTCAACAACGGAATGAATCAAATCATTGAGTGCAGCAGCTCTGAGGTTACTGTTACAGCTCACATTAAGGCAAGATGGATCAAGGTAACTGTTGGTTTGTTTGTTTTTTTAGCCGTTGGTGAAAATCCAGTAGATGCTGTCTTAAATTTACTTAGAACTCTTGAAGGAAGAATTTTAAGGACCTCAGGAAGGTGCTGTGCTTGGCGAGCGGCGGTGCGAGGAGGGGGGCAGAGGTAGGGCGAAGGGGCGGGGCTGAGGCACTCGGGTGGACCGCGCTGGTGGCTCCCATTGGGTTTGGGCCCCAGGCAGGTGCCGGGCAGGATGGGTGCTCAGGGCCCCGGCTGCGCTCCGCCTATGCCCGAGGGAGGCTCAGAGGACCGAGGGCCGCGGTCCGCGGCGGGCCCGAATCAGACACCTCCGGGGCCACGTGGCCCTGAGCCACGAACGGGAGTGGGCAGGGGGTGCGCCGACAGGGGGCGGGCCTGGAGAGGCCCAGGGCGGGAGGGCGCCGAGACCTCCGCGCCCCTCACCCCAACCCCAAGCCCAGGCATGCACGCCCGACCGGCCGCTCGGGGTCCCGGAAACACTCCGGGCCCCCGGGCCGGGCCAGGTTTGCTGGCCAGGGTTACTGGTGTGCGGGGACGGGGAGGCTTCGGCCGGGCTGCCGGCCCTGGCCGGCGCACCCCGTGGAAAGGTGCGGCCGGCTGGCTCGACACGGCACATCAGAGCGAAAAGGAGGCGCAGCGCAGGGTTTTTAAAGGTGCCTGGCGGCAACCGCCTCCATCTAAGATCATACCACCCTGAACGGGCCAGATGTCTTCTGATCGGGGAAACTAAGCAGGGTTAGTTAGTACTTGGATGGGAGACCCCCTAGTAGTTAGGAGCTCCAGGCTTTTGCACAAAGTAGACGACAAGCCAACGCAGAGGTGATGAAAAGTTTATCGTGAAAAATCCAATTCAACCTGAACTCAAAGATGGTTTATGGCATAAAAGCAAGTGTTTTCCATTAGGTTCCCCCCCACCCCCCATTAACTTGCATAATGGTTGCCATTAGCATAATGCTTAGTTTTTATTCCTTCTTTCCTTGTCTATATCCATCTTTTTGCACCATCATGTGGTGCCTTATTGGCATAATTTTCCGCCTTTTGTCTTCCCATAATGTTGCTGGAGGAGACAGATGGACTCCAGGTTAGGCATTTACATCTAGCCTGTTTACATTTCTTGAGGCAAGAGATGGTTGGGCTCCAGTTGAGCCTTTACAGTCAGTGTCCTGCTTGCCCTGTGAAATGGAAGTAACAACAGAAAGAGGGTAAATAGCCAGTGTCTGTCTCTTATGAACACTTTAGTAGCCATGACAAGGGCAAAGAGGGACAAAACCCTGCTTGAGTCAAGGATGAAGAGATCTCCCCTCCCCCCACCCCCCTTGTGGGAGAAGGGAAACACTACACACGCGCAGAGAGGCTCCTTGTGGGTGAAAAGTCCCGCGAAAATGCCAGACCATGATGAGCCTCGCTTCTCCCAGAAGCCTCCACTTGGAGATCCATCTTGGCTGAGGGGTATGTGCACACCAGGGCAGAGGCCCAGGATAGGTCAGATGTGAAGAAAGGAACCAGAAACTTGGCAGGAAGGAAGACAAAGACCCAGAAGAACTGGCCTATATAAAGGACTTCACCACCTCGTGGTTATTGTGCTCCTTCTCACCAGGGGGCGCCCATAACCTTTCTCTCCAGGTGTGTGTCTCTGCTTTGCTTCTGTCAGAACTAGACCAGCTGTTCCTCCGTGTTCTTTCCCACGTGTTGCTGTGCTGTGTCTCTGATAATAGACGTTGTACCTGCATGTAGCGATTCTGCCTCCATGATGAATGCATTTTTCACTGGTCAAAGATCCAGGGAAACTTGGCTTCTAGCCTCTAGCCCTTGCTGGTCTGGTGGCTAGGATTCCTGGTTTTCGTTCAGGCTACCCAGGTTCAGTTCCTGGGCAGCGAATTAGATCTCACTTCACGCCACCACTCACTGCTGCCTCACTGAGATCAACTCAATTTTTATCACCATTTAATCTACATCATATGAATTTTTGCAACTTTTCGTAAAAGGACTTCTTAGGTATTAACATACTGATATTTCCATAAGGGGGAAATACTTCTTCCCTAAAACTGCATTGAGAAGATTTGCACTTAAGAAAGTGTGTTTTACTGTAGCAGAATTATTATTTTGTCTTTACACTCTAGCATTTGTTAAATCCTTAACTGCCAAGAACTGTTCAGGCTTCCCTGGTGGCTCAGCTGGTGAGGAATCCACCTGCAGTGCAGGAGACCTGGGTTCGATCCCTGGGTTGCAAAGACCCCCTGGAGAAGGGAAACGGCTACCCACTCTAGTATTCTGGCCTGGGGAATTCCATGGACTGTACAGTCCATGCGTTTGCAGAGTCAGACATGACAGAGCGACTTTCACTGTTCACCAGCAACGGTTCGGCCTGAGATAAGAACTTTCGAAAATCTTTGAACACAGACGCTCTAACTTATTTTCCCTCTGGGATAAATATTTTGCATTTACTTTTAGGTCATATAGACACAATAGGCAGAGAACTCTCTTATTATGTATTTTATTTGCATGTAAATTAACATCCTAGAAACTTTAAAATAGAAACACTAAATACAGTATTGCACAGAACAATCTCTGTTAAATGCCCCATTATCTCACTGAAGTTCCTATACGCATGCAGGGACTGAAGGAGACAGGAAGATGGCAGAAGAGCAACCCGAGAGCCACTACTGTGTCTGGGCACATCAACTACAGACTGCAAGGTAAGGACAGTATTTTATAGGAATAGAAACATAGTTACAATTCAGATTTCCTTTTTAAGTTGCCTCCTTAATTGGTTTGCAGTAGCAACAGATTCTCCCCTTTTTTCATAGCCATTCCCCAACACATATCATTTTTAAAAATCTATTAATGTTAGACAAAGCCATCACAGTGCTTCAGGAGTGACTTCAAGAAAACTCCAATCAAGTCACAGTACTCAGGCAGGTGGGTTTAATAGCCAAGTCCTAGGTAGATATCAATCCATCTGAAAGTGGGCAGTAATGTTTGAACACATCTAGGATTTCCTTTTAAACACATGCTCCAAGGAAAACAGTACTGAATTGACCAGAGGAACAGTAAAAAGAGGACATCACTGGAAGGGAGTTTACACTGCCAGTCTGGCCCTGTGGTCTGGCGCTGGGGTAGCATCTGCTCGCTTGGCCCCTGTGTCCCTCAGGGAGGTCACGGGCTCAAGAGTGCAGAACAAGTATCATCACTAGGACTGCCCAGAGCTGCTGCGAACATTCAAAAAGTTTCACTTTAAGAGTTCTTTAGAGGGCTTCCCTGGCGATCCAGTGGCTGCTCCCAATGCAGGGGCCTGGGTTCAATCTCTGGTCAGTGAACTAGATCCCATTCACTGCAAGGAAGAGTTTGCACGCCACAATGAAAGATCCCATGTGTGGCAACCAAGACCTGGTGCAGCTTACAAAAGAGAAAAAAGGCACAAAATGTTCTTTAGAAAGTGCTATAAAATGCTATGAATGATTGCTTCTGCTAAGCAAATGGTAAGAAAATATGTGTATTAGTTGCTCAGCGGTGTCTGACTCTTTGTGACTCCATGGACTGTGGCCTTCCCAGTTCCTCTGTCCGTGGAATTCTCTAGGCAAGAATACTGGAAGAGGTGGCCATTCCCTTCTGCAGGCGATCTTCTCAACCCAGGCATGAAACCCAGGTCTCCTGCATTGCAGACAGATTCTTTACCACCTGAGCCACCAGGGAAGCCCAGGAAATACGTCGACCGGAATCCTCTTAATCAAGACAGGGGCCATTAGAGAGAAAATAACTTACTCGGTTAATTTAGTTTTATTATTGCCATTCTCCTTGGGAATTAAAAAGAGGGTACTTCTGGAGAAACTGACAAAGCTGTGATTTATCTTAATAAAAGACTTCTTATGGAGATCTTGAAACCTGTTTCCGGAAAGAAATGAGTTCTAAATATATTTCTTAAGCCTGGTGGCAAAGTTTCTAATGACAGAATTCATCTCCCATGCAGCTCAATGAATCCCTGTTGTTTTTTTTTTTCATTTATTTTTATTAGTTGGAGGCTAATGACTTTACAATTTTTTTTGTCATACATTGACATGAATTAGCCATGGATTTACATGTATTTCCCATCCCGATCCCCCCTCCCACCTCCGTCTCGACCCGATCCCTTTGGCTCTTCCCAGTGCACCAGGTCCGAGCACTTGTCTCCTGCATCCAACCTGGGCTGGTGATCTCTTTCACCCTAGATTATATATACATGTTTCGATGCTGTTCTCTTGAAACATCCCACCCGCGCCTTCTCCCACAGAGTCCAAAAGTCTGTTCTATACATCTGTGTGCCTTTTTCTGTTTTGCAAATAGGGTTATCGTTACCATCTTTCTCAATTCCGTGTATATGTGTTAGTATCCTCTAATGGTCTTTATCTTCCTGGCTTACTTCAGTCTGTATAACGGGCTCCAGTTTCATCCATCTCTTTAGAACTGATTCAAATGAATTCTTTTTAATGGCTGAGTAAGATTCCATGGTGTATATGTACCACAGCTGCCTTATCCATTCGGCTGCTGACGGGCATCTAGGTTACTTCCATGTCCTGCCTATTATAAACGGTGCTGCGATGAACATTGGGGTGCACGTGTCTCTTTCAGATCTGGTTTCCTCGGCGTGTATGCCCAGAAGTGGGATTGCTGGATCTTAGGGCAGTTCTTTTTCCAGTTTTTTAAGAAATCTCCACACTGTTTTCCATAGTGGCTGTACTAGTTTGCATTCCCACCAACAGGGTAAGAGGGTTCCCTTTTCTCCACACCCTCTCCAGCATTTATTGCTTGTAGACCATTTGGATAGCAGCCATCCTGACTGGCGTGTAATGGTACCTCATTGTGGTATTGATTTGCATTTCTCGGATAATGAGTGATGTTGAGCATCTTTTCATGTGTCTTTTAGCCATCTGTATGTCTTCTTGGAGAAATGTCTGGTTAGCTCTTTGGCCCATTTTTTGATTGGGTCATTTATTTTCTGGAGTTGAGCTGGAGGAGTTGCTTGTATATGTTTGAGATTAATCCTTTGTGTGTTGCTTCGTTTGCTGTTATTTCCTCCCAATCTGAGGGCTGTCCTTTCACCTCGCTTATAGTTTCTTTGTCGTGCAAAAGCTTTTAAGTTTCATTAGGTCCCGTTTGTTAATTTTCGCTTTTGTTTCTAATACTCTGGGATCCTGCTGTGATGTATGTCGGAGAGTGTTTTGCCTGTGTTCTCCTCTAGGAGTTTTATGGTTTCTGGTCTTAACATTTAGATCTTTAATCCATTTTGAGTTTATTTCTGTGTATGGTGTTAGAAAGTGTTCTCGTTTCATTCTTTTCCAGGTGGCTGACCAGTTTTCCCAGCACCGCTTGTTAAAGAGGTTGTCTTTTTTTCCACTGTATATCCTTGCCTCGTTTGTCGAAGATAAGGTGACCATAGGTTCGTGGATTTATCTCTGGGCTTTCTGTTCTGTTCCATTAATCTATATTTCTGTCTTTGTGCCAGTACCATACTGTCTTGATGACTGTGGCTTTGTGGTATAGTGTGAAGTCAGGCAGGTTGATTCCTCCAGTTCCATTCTTCTTTCTCAAGATTCCTTTGGCTATTCGAGGTGTTTTGCATTTCCATACAAATTGTGAAATTATTTGCTCTAGTTCTCTGAAAGCTGCCGTTGGTAGCTTGATAGGGATTGCATTGAATCTGTAGATTGCTTTGGGTACTAT